GCAAAAACAAATTCTACGATTGAATGTTTAATCGGTGAAACTAATCATTATTAATTTAATCTTTTAGATTAAATTAATATTTTAACTAAATTCATTAACTCATCAAACTAAACAAGTAAATTATATATATGTATATATATATATATATATATATATATATATATATATATATGAAAAAAAAAAGGAAAACCCAAAAGAATCATAACTAGTCAGTGGTCAAAAGATCACGTTCTAGAATCGAGCTTTAATTAAAATATCCAAAGCACCACCACATCTGCAAAATGATATCTTGGGGGAGTTGGGGGACGAAAGAGAAAGTATGTCCTCCACGTAATGGATGTCACTAACGCCTTTAGAAAATAGAACAACGAGCTTTCACAATTGAAGTGACACCGTGTGCCAAAACCACATCGACATAGCAAGCAAGACAAATTCCTAATTCAACATTTCAATATATTGCTTCTCGAATGATGTCCGGTGATAAAAGCGTATGTCGTCAATCTTAATATCTTAATATGACACATGATCACTATATAGTATCTATAATAAAAGAAAAAGATGAAGATCACTCTTCACCTATCCATCTAGGTGGGAAAGGATCTAAGATATATGATTATGAGGTATTCCCATATGGATAAAAGGTCAAGTGAAGGTTTTGGGAGACGATTAGAGACTATCTTTTCGTATAATATTTAATGAAATATTTTATCCATTTACGATCAAGTATAAAAACTCATCTTCAATACAAGAAAAAAAGATTATTTTTTTTTTACCGCTCGCGTCCATATTTATATACTTAGGTTACTAAATTAGGTGTCAGGGCAATTAGGTCGAGAAACCACTCTTGCGTACAGGTGGCACATCGAGAGTTTAGCATTTTCACCATGGAGGCATATCAAACAACATTGTGTATATGGGTCCGGACCATGTCATACTACCTAGGAGTCAACAACTTATTTCCTTAACATTTTAGCACTAGAAAGATGGTCCGATGTTATAGGAACAATCATCAATCAATCCTCTCAATGAATACTTGAGAGAAAATACTTTAACCTCAACTATAGTACTTTCACTCAAGAGGGGCTGCACCCACCCTTTCTATATATTAGCGCATCTACCTCGGTGTAGATGCCAGTGTGATACTATTGTCTATTCAATAACCTAGATCTCTCACTCCCAAGGATGAGCTCGAGCCACCTGCTTATTCTTGCTGATGTGTTCTTCCACCTCCTGTCCTCAGAGGCGTTCAATGGCAATACTGACCCGATGAAGCACATTACAGTTTTTTGTACCCAAGTGTCATTGTACGATACTTCAGATGTCTTAATGTACTGCACCTTCCCAACCATGTTAAGAGGCTCAACACGAGAATGGTATGCCCACCTAAAGCTGCTTTGCATCAGAGTTTTGCCTAGCTCATAAAGGAGCTTGAACTTCACATCCTCGTGAATGTATGCTCATGGCTATCAGCGATAATGTTCCTTATACTCAAGCAAGGGGAGGAAGAAATACTCGTAGACTTCGTTACTCAGTTCACGAGCGAGATCCAATATGTGCTAGATGCTAGTTACAGGTGCCCTGTAAACCAATCATATGAGTGATGACACATAAAATTCATTGTATAATCTCTTTTAATTAATATTTATAATAATATTTTCTCACTTTAGATTATATGATGAATATATTGTGATGTCTTTAAATCTGTACAATGAGAATTGGATCATGATAAGATCATGATAATGAGACCAATTCACCTTTAAGCATAGATCCTAAATATTCATCATCATAGGTTACTCAAGAAATACATCGAGGTAACTGAACAAACCGGTGTACTATATACTCATCTATATGATGGAGGCAATTCGTCTCATAGCTGCTTGTGTGGGGACACGTGATATAGTACATGTGCTCATTGGAGAATAAGTTCACTGAATGATTCGCTTATGGAATGCTGAATGGTTAATGATACCTCATCATTAGATACCAATTTCGTAGTCTCGATTGTATATATGGTCCTTAGACTTGAGATACCAAGGATGTCTTATTTGAGTACTCTATTATTTGATATCATACTTATAGATTTGAAAGTTTCAGATTTAGTACAAGCAATCATTGAGAATGACAACCAACCTTACAAAGGCAATTGAGTGTCAATAAAGGATCATCCACTTTCAGTATCATGAGAAAATATCTCGTGTGTTCTCACTTAGGCAAATCATTGATCAGTGTCAATCAGATTGAGAGATTTCAATAAAAGTAAGACTCTAATGGATTCCGTATAGGCATGATAGTATTATGCCCCATAATATTTGAAATATTAGATGGATAAGGGACTATAGATACACGATAATTGAGGGCAGATAGATCTAATGGATTAGATCTCCCTATACTATCTAGGAATTATAGTATAGTGGCCTAGTACGTTCATAGTCGATGAGTTGAATGAATTATTATGAGAATAAAAATTCACTAAGTCAAAAAGAGATATAACGAGTGCAACTCACCGCTAGCTTGATTGAGCTTAGAGGGTCACAAACATATGGTGGACAACTCGATGACTATAATATTGGATATGAGATATTCAATAAGTCTTCTTTACCCAAGAAAGCTTGGAGCTTAGAGGGGTTATTGGATGGGGATCTAATACCTATTAATCCAATAGTTATTAGATGCAGATCCAATACCAATTAAGAAAGATCCATTAGGGTTTTCATAAAGAGGATATATATAAATAGGAATGGGGTTCAAAGGATCATAGGTTAGGCCCCTAGAGCCATCAGCCTCCTCATCTCTCCCTTGCCATGAGCCCCTTCCCTGGTGTAAGAGGACAATAAGAGAGCTAGCCCCTTCTTGCTTACTAATGTTACGTAGCGGTACACTATCACGAGGAGATAACCCTTAGTGAGGAAGAGGTGCATCACCGTTGTCATCCACTATGTGGATCACCATCAGAGATGAGTTCACGAGAACTTCTTCATCTGTCAAACTAAGATTTACGTTTTAAGGGATATACGAGCTCCCCTAGGTGAAAACGTCTCACCCTCTTGGTGCAATTTTGTGATATTGAGTTTTACGCTCCCGGTCATCACTTCACGATCTGATGCTCGTTGTTCATGAAATGATTTTATTTTACTTCTTCATTAGGTATATGATGCTCCTTTGATGGTTTCCTAATACTAGATGTTAATCTATCATTTATAAAATAAAATTTAATGATGGAGCTAAAGCCCTCTCATCTCTTTTGGTCATTGATGGGGAGACTACTGACAACTATACCAGAGACACTTCAAAGGGCCAATCAATATATCACCACCAAGATAATGATCTCGGGCAAAAGTTAGGAGTCACAAAAGAGGTTGAAGTAGGAGCGGCCATAATCAGCCTCTTAAGGTCAAAAGTTAGGAGTCACTTAAGGTCACTGCAACAAGGGAGAAATAAACAACTTAAATCACCTTGCCCATGGTCCAGCTAACCCCCCTAAATATGATTAGAATAAAAGTTTTTTCTATAAATAAAATAAAAGGGACTTTTAAAACACCCTCACCCGTTGAAGACCACTCTATTGCGAAAAGAGATAAATCTAAATACTATTGATCCATCAGGATTAAGGCCATGACACAAAGGACGACCTAGATATAACCTTAAGGAGGAAGAAACGGAGTATCTTAACCCGAATTATGATGATGTTTCAATAGTTTCTATATGGATGATTAACGCTCAAGTGAAAAGAGTCATGATTAATAAAGATAGTTTTGATGATATTATCTACTTTAATGCTTTCCAATAACTCGAGCTGTTAACTAACAACCTTACTCCTATAATTTCTTCACTGACAAGGTTCACTAACAACTCTATCTTGCCTCTCAGGAACGTGAACTTGCACGTTATATTCAGAGATAAAGATTACTCCAAAATAATATTGGCTAAATTCATGGTAGTAGATATCCTCTCAATATCTAACGTGATCATAAACGGACACAGTGAATAAACTGAGGACGATGGTGTCGATCTACTGCATGATGATAAAGTTTCTGACAAGAACTAGTATTGGAGAATTGAAAAGCAATATAAGAGAGTCGTGCAGTACTCCATAACAATAGTCTCTCTACTGAAGAAAGCTTGACCCAAGATATCACCTATGAATCCTCAAGACTTTGATAAGTCAGTCTCATGTCATAAAATAGTAGAGCCACTTATTGAAGCACCCCTAGATAAGACTATGTGCTTCAAAAGGCTAAAACTAATGACCCAACTAGATCTCAAGATAAACTAGTGCCAAACTAGGAATATTTATATCAAGTCATCGAGGTCATCAAGACAGAACCTATCGTCTTGGTGACTATGCCCCAAGACACATTAGAGGTGGTGCCTCTAAGGATATGACACATTACAAAATTAAAGAGATTTAGGGTTAGGTCATGGTGACTATGCCTTGAGCGTCAAGCCTTGGTCTATCATGTCTTTGGCACTAGTTGTAAAAAATATATTTTCAAGGTATAGGTGTTGCAAGCCGA